TGAAGTTTAAAGGCCAGACGATAACAATTGGCGAAGTTATTAAACTTAGAATTTGTCTCGAAATTCTGCAGCAAGTGTGAATTTTTCGAAGTGCCCGGGTCGGCGATGGGGTCACGCACGAATGGATTTCTTCCAAATTTTGGATGGCTTTAACGGATTAAAGGAACACGAAAAGCATTGCAATGGGTTAAGGCCATAAGCAACGACTCACTCTCAAAATGCAGAGTAAAATATTGTATACAGTACCTTCGTGATCAGTTGCAAACTTCTGTTGTTGCTGCTCCTCTCTCCTTAGTTGAGCTCTGCATTTTCTTAATTTTGTCTTCGCAGAAATCCATTGATTTCGCAGCTGACGATTTTTTCTCTGGAGGGAAGTACAACTCGAGCATTCCTGAACTGGAGTTTGAGTAAACTTACACTACGAGAAAGAAAGAACGCGTCCTTACAAAAAAAGCCATAATACGTAAATAACATGTTTGTAAAGTTTTTAAACATACCAAATCGTCCAGTTCATTCATTTCTGAGACTTCTTCTAGAACTGTTTGTGGATCTTCTACTGGGCTCTGATCTGTCTCATCTGGGCTTTGATCCTTCGCTTGCTCCATATCCTCGGCTGTATTTTGTTTTTCCTGGATGTTGAATGACCGTAAAACTTCCCTCACGACCTGTTTATCATTAGATAGATGGATAAATGAAAGTTAATCGTCTTATTTTACTTAGTTTGAAAGTGGATGGTATTCTTACCATTCGCCTTGATCGTTTTGCAGCCGACTCAGATGCAGGTTTAGCCTTCTTGTTTGTAGTAATGGATGGTATGGCAACGATACCGATGTCATCTCGAACAAGTCTCTGACTGTTAGGCGCTGATTGTCCGTCAATCGCGATAAACTGTCGCGCATAATCTTCCGCTCTAAAATGGTCGGAACAAATCGCAGATATAGAAGTCGCACTCCATTTCTTTCTTGTGAGAAGAACGAAGTCAACCCACTTCTTGCGGCGTCTCACGGCTTCTGAACGATCATCACCAAAAAACGGAATTCTGTGCAACGAGATGCCGTTCTTATGGCTGTTCTCATTACCACAACCTCCGACAACACAACGGTCGGGCATCTTAATAATAAAACTTAAATTTATCTTCAATTTTCAATATTTTCAATAAGCTTCTGTAACACTACGAACGTTTCTACCAGGAAAAACCCTTGAACTGTTGATCAACAAGTCCCGTAAATGACGTCACAGCAACTCGGTACCAATCCCTTTCAACAGCTCCGAAATGTTTCTAAAGGGAGCCCAAATCATGCTTTTTTGCCAACTTTGACCCCCAAAAAATTACACACGAAAAATAATTTTTGAAATTTTAATACCTAAAATCCTCTTTATACAACACAAACTTTATTTTAGAATTGAAACCAGCGAACCCTGATATGCACTTAAAAGGAAATAATAATAAAAATTTTAACAGTAATGATAAAAAGGTAAATTATACACCGTGAAAAGATGAAAAAACTTTCTGACGTTTCGGACGCTAATCCTTCGTCTGAGGGCTAGCGTCCGAAACTTCAGTAAGTTTTTCATCTTTTCACTGTGTATAATTTACCATTTTATCATTACTGTTTCATTAGAAACACCGACGCAGCTCACACTAGTTTTTAGATAGTAATCTCTTCTTATGAAAAGTTTAAGATATACGTATGACATTTATTGTTGTTTCTCTTCTGACAATTTTAATATTCATAACGCTATACCTGGTCCCACTTGAGAAGATGTCCAGAGAGGAAGGACGATAGCTCCTCGAGGAAGGGCCCTAAATCGGGATCACTAACATCAATCTACAATACGGAATTTAATTAATTTTAACAAGGAAGTAAGCAATTATACCTCGTATATAAAAATACATTTTGGATAACTTACTGTCATTTCAGTCATTTTGTAGCAGTCACCGGAAAGGCCGTTCAGTGTCGTGCTAATGTATTGGACCTCTGACCATTTTGCGCCTGCGATACATCGAAAAGACCTTATGTGTATATCATCGTGGACCGTCAGGAACTGAACTAAATGTACGTATAAATTACGAGGTAAGTTTTGTATTTTATTAGCTATTATGTTGCCTTATATCTACTTTGCAAAGTTGTCTTTATGATGTAATGAGTTTTTATGGTTTTATTTGTTTTGATTTTACTTCAAATAGTCAGCATTTTGGTCATGACTTTTTTCCATGTGTTGGCTCTTAAAAGAACCGTTTAAAAAAAATGTTTTTTGTGTTTTTTCTTTCCATGTTTTCTCAACGAGTGTCTACTGGATGCGGGCTGATGAGGAGGAGGTGGCTTGTAATCTTTTATACTTTCTTGCGACCTCTTCTTTGCCGCCTTCGAACGAAAACCCGTTGTCTCTCTTTTGGTATACTCGCTTTCGTGTGGCGTAGTTCTCGAGGACTTCTTGTCTTTTCTCTGTACACAGTATAGACCGGCATGCGTCCCACCTGTTGGACTTTCGATGGAAGAATCGTCTCACGTCATCATTTTTCTTTTCAACTCCTGAAAAAAGGTATGAAAAAACACAACAAAGTTAATATTAACTGTTGCTTTAAAATTATTTCTAATAAACTGAGACAGCGAGAGAAAACTATAGAGCTTAACTCATAAGTGTAAGCTTATAATTTTAATTTGTTTGTTAAAAAACATTTTAAGCTGAAATACCTTGACCAGTAAATGTCTTTATCGTCTGGTATTCGTTCAGCAGGGTGGGCACATGATAAAAAATGTATGTATGGAGTGATTGGGCAGGATTGTCTATATCCAGGGCCATTCATCTCAAGGAGCCTTTTCCCCCACTCAAGTGCCTGTACAAGGTAAATAATATACAGTGAATATAATCTTATAAACTTTCAATTCATTTATGTATATTATTATATTATTTATTGGTTAATTTTTACCTTAGAATGAAATGAAGTAATGTCAGCAGCTTTAGGTTCCCAACTATTTATAATTTGGTACAAGTTTCTGAACTCCTGAAATATATAGATAATATTTAAAATTAATTATCTGATAATGATCATTTTTCATTTTTCATCTTCCATCCAGTTAAAACCATTTGATAAATACTTCGGTACACCATTTGCACACCATTGTTATCTTAATTAGTTAATGCTATTTTTCCTTACCTCCCACAACATTCTTGTTGGTTCAACATTTGCTGGTTTTAGAAAAGTAGAAAATTTCTCTACCAATTGCAAGAGCAGTCTTTTCTTGTCGGATCCAGACAATGATGTCCATTCTTGCTTGTTATCTTTCCCCTTCCACAATGAAAACGAAACACCACATTCCTTGATTGCTTTGATAAGGCTCTCTTCGTGAAGCTTTGTATGCCTGGACTTTGGCTTGTCAAAATTGTCACTCTATGATATTAAACAAGTTTTGACACGGGAAAACGTGTCAAATGTGCTGGGCACATTGGATACTTTGAATAGAGTAGAAGACTATTTGGGATTTAGTCATTGTAAGACAGAAGAAAGTCCGTGGATTCGGTTTGAATATTTTTTTACGGTCAAATTGAACCAGCATAAACGAGTCTTGGTCGCAAACCCCAAAGCAAGCCTCCGTCTCTCTGAGAACCAGTGTTATAGTGGCTCCATCGACTCAAAAACACCACACAAAACATTATTGAACAGAAGATTCTCCATCTATAGAAAAAGTTTGGTCTCGAAAATTTACCTCAGAATACCCTGCGAGCAGAGTCTCCTTTCTCTCTTTCCTTTCTCTCACTCGGGGGAAGGTAAAGGGGACTTTGCTCGCAGGGTAACCTCAGAATGGAAATATTACGAAAAACGTATCTCTTTCCCCTCGCTTCTTAGTAAATTTGCCCCCCAAACAATGTGGCGTCGGAAACCGTGAAAGGAACTATAAATAAACTAATATAAAACTCGTGTGAGTACTCTTTTATGTAAMTTATGACGCAGTAAATTCCTCGTCCACCCACTCGTTGAAGGTTTCGGCATGAAAATCCCTTTTTCATAAAAATAGTCGACTAGAAAAAGATACGTTTAGCTAACCAAACAAAAATCATTACTTTAGTTAATGCAATAACATATAACTCGTGCGGGTACTGTTACTAAAACAAGGAACGGCCTGAAATCACCTGAAACGACCTAAAACGACCTGAAACGATCTGAAACCGTCTTGAAACCAGCCTAAACATTGAATCTCCATCGAGTTTGTCGTCCAGTTTGAGTATTTTATTGACTTAGCTATGATCGTCCAGTTTGCGTATTTTATTGACTTATTAGCTATGATCAACCGTCCCTACCTATGATCAACTGTTCCTAGCTATGATCAACTGTAACTAGCTATGATCAACTATCCCTAGCTATTTTCACCATTCTCTACTAATGGTTTCCTGTACCTATATATAGATTAATTTCCCCTTATATAGTTTAATGAACTTAAAATCTTGCAGGCAACATGGCTGAATTACGTTAAGGAGGGGCTTATCCAGAATTTGTCATGGGGGGCGTGGGGGTCACACCATACCAAATTGTCACTATGACATCATATCACATACTGCATCAACGGTCAGATGATTTATCTTTGGCTTTGAAAATGGGGTCACAGGCACCCCTGAGCGCCCTAGATAGGCCTATGTTAAGTTTAACAAATTTACACGTTAAAGTATGTAAAAAAATGTTCAAATTGTAATCATAGCTAGGGACAGTTGATGACAGCTAGGGATAGTTGAAAATAGCTAGGGACAGTTGATGACAGCTAGGGGCAGTTGAAAATAGCAAGAGATAGTTGAAAATAGCTAGGGATAGTTGATCATAGCTAGGGATAGTTGATCATAGCTAGGGATAGTTAATCATAGCTAGTGACAGCTGATCATAGCTAGGAACAGTTGATCATAGGTAGGGACGGTTGATCATAGCTAGGAACAGGTAATCATAGCAAGGGAGAGGTGAGGTATAAGTGTGGAATACTTCTATGGGAGACTATACGTATGAGCGACTATATGACATTCTACCATGAAGTACATCCCTTCCAAGGAAAACAAACACTYGATCGATCGATAAAAGTCAATAAAATACACAAACTGGACGACAAATTCGATGGAGATTCAATGTTTTGGCTGGTTTCAGGTGGTTTCAAGATGGTTTCAGGTCGTTTTAGGTGGTTTCAGGTGGTTTTAGGTCGTTCCTTGTTTTAGTAAATACCAATAGTACTATTTTAGATCAATGACGTAGTAGAAATTCCTGGCCCGCCCCCATTCAAGCTTACGGCCATGAAATACGTTTTTGTCATAAAAATATTCGACTAGAAATAAATATGTTTTGCTAATCAAACCAAATATCATTTTTCTTGCTAATAAAATAATATAAGTCTCGTGCGAGTACTATTTTACATCAATGACGCAGTAGAAATTCCTGGCCTGTCCATTTACAATCTTTTGTTTACGTAACTAATTCGAGTTGTATAAAATAAAAATAAAAAATCGCACTTAAAGTTTCTAATTTAGCTCCAGTTTCTAATTATCTGCTTAGAACTACCAAATTAAGTTTAAAGTAAGTTGGATTAAGGCACTCTTACCACGAAAACCACATATGTTCAACCTCTTTCACCTCCTCCGTGTTCCGATCTTACAGATCTCAACGTGCATTTTCACCTCGTGTTTCACCAATGTCAATCATGACGAGGTCCACCAATGGCATTCGTAACACTAAATTCCGATCATACCTAACTCAACAAAAACAAATGTACTGTGCCCATAGGCCCAGCACAAAAACAAGAATAATTTCAATGATTAGTTATTTAATTTATGACTGCCAACAATAAATGAAAATAACCAACTGAGATGAGCTGATCTGGATGTAATAAAAGTCACACCTCATCCCAATCCTGAAATTCAGTTATTATTCCATTTTCCAGTCGGTCCATAACTCTCATAAGTAAGTGCAACTCGTCAATAACAATGTGGTCCATTGGGATGTCGAACAAAGGCTTTCCTGCACATCCTGGCTCTTTGTGCCAATTTTTACACAATTTTCGTTTCACGAAGAAGTCCATGGGCTTGCTCAGATCAGACCTTCAATTATAAAAAACAAATATCTGTATAATCAAGGATCACAAATGAGATCTGATTCTTAAAATCTATTACTTATATTACCTGCTACTCTTAGGCACTTTGCAGTAGATACGACTGTGATTAGATGTTGCAGCCTTCATTCCAAGAGCAAGGAGTAGGAACTACAATTAAATATATTTATGATATAAATAAAATGAAATGTCTTCAAGACATCAATGTTTATACTTAATGACTGTGATTGTAAATGCCGACACGGACGAATGATACGACGACTTTATCGCACGTGAACGGGCTTACGAGTAATTGAGGAGATTTCGGGAATAATTTTACGGACAGCACTTGACGACGAATTGAAGTTTATTACAATCCAAGAACTTGTCGTAAAATAACAGTCCCGCTTGCCGAGGTTAAGATATAGGTTATTGCTCCAACAAAGATAACTAAAAAACTACTCTAAACTCTTTGATCACGAATAGATGTGTTCTCGTCGACTTCATACACTAATACTAACGCTAAGTGGAATTGAGACGTGTTGTAACTAAGTGAAACGTTAAGGATATGACGTAACTAATAATAGATACAAAAATAAAGTGTTCGTGGGCGGGGCTGATAAGCCTTCCTTTACAT